CTCTAATGTTCCCTCATGTAAAAAACATGCGGGGGACTTCCCTGGTGGTCCAGTGGGTAAGACTCTGTGCTCCCAATGCAGGGGGCCTGGGTTCGATCCCTAGTCAGGGAACTAGATCCTGCATGCATGCCACAACTAAGAGTCCACATGCTGCAACTAAGGAGTCTGCATGCCGCAACTAAAAGATCCCACGTGCCGCAACTAAAAGATCCCACATGATGCAACGAAGATCCTGCGTGCCACAACTAAGACCTGGCAAAGCCAAAATAAATAAATAATAAATAAGTAAATAAAATAAAAATAAAAAACATGCTGGATTTTGCATACACATACACACACATCTTTTAATCATATTAAGGGAATATCCATTGATTCCGACTTCATTGAAATTTTAAATAAAAAATGAATATAAATTATGACAAATGCTTTATTGGCAACTGTGGAGATTAGCGTATGATATTTCTTTTAGAAATATTATTTAATATAATAAGTTACATTAATAAATTTCCTAATATTGAACAATCATTTCGTTTTTGTAGTGAACATCACTTGGTCATAATGTATACTTTTTAAAATATGCTGTTGGATTCTATTCTATTTTCTATCTTATTTAAGATTTTTGCACCAATATTCACAAGTGAGATTGTTCTGTAGTTTTCTTGTGTGTATGTGTGCAATCTTTATCATTTTTTTTTGCTAAGTTCATCTCATAAAATGTTTTTGTAAGTTTTCTCCTTTTTCTATGACCCAGAATGCTTAAGTAGAATTAAGATTATATTTAGGAAAACTATGCAATGGTTTGAGTTGTGGGCTGAACTAATCACTTTTTAATGGAACCCCTTTTTAACCTGAAAGAACAAGTAACAAACAAACTATACTTATTCAGATTTGGGTATTTGGTAGACATTTTCTCAAAAATACACAAAATGAGCTTGTCACTTCAAGGAAAACAAGTGACTTAGTATTTATTGACAATGATAAAACTCAAATTTTCAGATGAAAATTAGAATTTTGGGAAACTTGTATCTGCAACTGTGAACCTGACAAGTTCCCAATACTCAAAGACTTTTCTGGGGAGATAGGTGTTGATACAAATAAAAGTGATTTTTAAATATTGTATAATGAAGTGTGTCAGTATTTAATATTATATCATGAAATGTGTCAATGTGTTTAACTCAGTGAACCAATATTTTCCAAAACACCAATTTGGTCTAAATGCAAAATGTTACACATTCATTGATATGGTGCCAGATCCCACATTGCAGCTAGCTTTTTTTTTTTTTTTTTTTTTTTTTTTTTTTTTTTTTTGCGGTACGCGGGCCTCTCACTGTTGTGGCCTCTCCCGTTGCGGAGCGGACGCGCAGGCTCAGCTGCCATGGCTCACGGGCCTATCCGCTCCACGGCATGTGGGATCTTCCCGGACCGGGGCACGAACCCGTGTCCCCTGCATCGGCAGGCGGACTCTCAACCACTGTGCCACCAGGGAAGCCCTGCAGCTAGCTTTTAACAAACTCCCACTTCTTGAATTTTGGTTTAGTATCAAAGAAAAATGTTCACAAGTATCTAAATAGGCTATTAAAATACTACTCCCTTTTCCAACTATGTATTTGAGTGAGTCCAGATCTTCACACACTTCAACCAAAACAGTACACTGTAACAGAGTGATTGCAGATGTGTGAATCCAGCTGCTTTCTATTAGGTCAGATAGTAAGAAATTATAAAACTGTAAAACAAAAACAATACCCCTCTTCTCACTAAATTGTATTTATTTGGGAAAATATAGTTATTTCCCATAGGTTATGTTAACATTTAATGGGTTTATTTTTATTGTTGTTATCAAATGAATAAAAAATATTAAAAAATTTTTCAATCTTAATTGCTAATATGGTGAACATTGATAGATATAATACAATCCACAGAAACCAAAGCTCTGTAGGGAAGGGTGTCTTCAATACTTTTGTTTTTGGCTGTGTCACACAGCATCCAGGGATAGGGGATCTTATTTGCCTGACCAGGGATGGAACCTGTGTGCCGGCCATGGAAGCACACAGTCCTAACCGCTGGACTGCCAGGGAATTCAATACTTCAATACTTTTTAAAAGGTAAAGGAGTTCTGAGACCAAGACGCTTGAGAACCATTACTTAGCAGCTTCCTCAGGAAAAGCTCATGTTCAGATTTTTTTGTCAGCAGCCTTTACACCTGAACACAGGATAAAGGGATATAAAATTCTTGGATCATATTTTCTTTTTGAAACTCTTGAAAATGCAGTTTCATTGTTTCTAGCACAAAATGATGTTGTAAAGAAGTCTGACACCAGTCTAATTTTCTTTTCCTTATAAATGACTAGTACTTTTTTGTCTGGATGCTCAACGGGGTTTTTCCTTATCTTTAAAGTCTAATTTAATAGTTTTACTAGAAAATGTTTTGGTTTAAACTGTTCTGGGTCAGTTTTCTCCTATACACTGTAGACCTTTGCAATAATATGTAGACTTAAGTCTTATTTCAGGAAAATTTTCTCAAAATTTTGTTTTAAATATTTGTTCTGATACATTGCTCTGGTTTTCCTTGTGGGGATAAATGTGTGTGCTTGTTCTCTATATCTATCACTTTCTCTTGAAAACTTTTATCTTTCTTTTTAGAAAAACCATTCTCCTTTCAGCCCTTAAATATGCTTTTTTTATTTCTGAAAATAGTTAAAAAAATTTTTTTCCTGAGACTGGTTAGTTCTCATTTAATATGCAACTGTTCTCTACCCGTATCACTTTTTAGCTTTTCTATTTCTGATTTATGCTTTTCTTTCAAATCATCTATTATTTTATTTCCCTTAAAAATATTAGGTTAAAAAAAGAGAGAAGAAAAAATACTAAGTTAAAGTTTTCATCTGCTTTGTGACCACATTTTTCTAGTGTGTTACTGTCTGCTTGAACATTATTAGGTTTATTTTCACCTTGTTTCCATAGCATGTATGGGATTAGATCATATTTCTTATTTGTTCCCAATCTTAAATGAGGTAGATTTTCCTGGACTATTAAGAAAACGCACTCTTGCCTCTCGGCCCCGCCCACGCCTCGCGCATGCTCTGGACCCCTCCCACTCCTGGGCCCCGCCCACGCCTCTCACACAGCGTCGCGGGCCACGCCCAGCCTCTTGCCTCTCGCCGGTGCCAGGCTTGCTGTATATTTTCCCGCCATTTCCAGCTCTTCTTGAGAACTGATTGATTTCGGTGAGATCCGAGGCCTTTTGGGATCACTGCGGCCAAACAGGTAGGGCATGTAGTTAAAAAAGAGCTACTGCGGGCTTCCCTGGTGGCGCAGTGGTTGAGAGTCCACCTGCCGATGAAGGGGACACGGGTTTGTGCCCAGGTCCCGGAAGATCCCACGTGCCGCGGAGCGACTGGGCCCGTGAGCCATGGCCGCTGAGCCTGCGCGTCCGGAGCCTGTGCTCCGCAACGGGAGAGGCCACAGCAGTGAGAGGCCCGCGTACCAGAAAAAAAAAAAAAGAGTTACTGGTAAATCTGAGACTGCTAAATCTCCACCCCTAGAAACCAGACGAGTCTTGCCCTCACAAATCCTGTTAACGGCCCTTCTTTTAAAGGGTTCATTTGGTCAACGCATTTGATTAAAATCGTTCTTGCTTCCCCTAAACAAACCAGGGCATATATTACTGTGACCTTTTCAGTAGTTCTTTAGACTCACTTTCTGGTAGAAGTTAGTGTATCTGTGAGCAACAAATAGGTATCTGAAGCTCATGCCTCTATGTAATGTCTTTGCATTGAAACGTTTATTCAGTAAGTTTTTATCGTGAATCTTGCCATTATGTGACAAAAATATTACAGTGTGGCACAAACCAGCCAATATTCTTTGAGCAAATGTCTCCATAAACTACTTTAAAACTTTTTTAAAGAAAAGACTTAAAAAAAAAAAAAGACTTCAGTGGGGAAAAATTTTACCTTCTGTTTTAATTTTTTCCCCCAATTTAATTTTAAATGAAATTAAACTAATATATATTACATTCTTGTAGTATATTCATGAAATTAAACGTAAATCTATTAAATGTATGAACTAATTACAGCTGTATGTATCAGCTCTGTATTTTTTTTTTTGCGGTACGCGGGCCTCTCACTGTTGTGGTCTCTCCCGTTGCGGAGCACAGGCTCCGGACGCACAGGCTCAGCGGCCATGGCTCACGGGCCCAGCCGCTCCGCGGCATGTGGGATATTCCCGGGCCGGGGCACAAACCCGTGTCCCCTTCATCGGCAGGTGGACTCTCAACCACTGCACCACCAGGGAAGCCCTCAGCTCTGTATTTTTTATGTCAGTTTCTTCATTTAAAATCTTACATTTCAGTGAATATCAGATACATCTTTTGAAAAATGGTGGGATTGGAAAAAATGTTAAATGATTTTCAAGATCCCTTCCAGATCTATGATTCTGAGTTTCTATGGATAGAAGGAAATGTGAAAAGCTGAGACATCATTCATAAACAATGTTTCCATTAGATAAAATGTGTCCCAAGTGGCTAATATGTGATCTTGTATATTTGGTCCACTACCTTCTCCTTGCTCCATCTTGCTGTATCACAGGAAACTATTAGGAAAGAAATAGACTTATTTTTAGGATTGTTTTTTCTAATTACATATTAGTGCCTGAATTAATCCAGAAAATTTAGAAAACAAAAAAAGTGTAAAGGCAACACACACACACACACACACACACACACACACACACATGATCTCACCATTCAAAAAAAAAATCATCATTGTCCTATTACTCTTCTAAATATGTATAATTTTTCTCTTTAGAGAATGGCATAGCACAGCCTGCAGTCTGCTTTTTTTACTTCAGAGGTATATGTACTTCCTCACATCCAATTGGAATACCCACAATAATATGCCCACATCCCAATAAGTTAGCAGAAACTAAGCAAACATTGTTAAGTAGATTTTGGAACAGCTATAATTATGTTATGCCCCAGGGTTATTCTCTTTCTCTGCTGCAGAATGGATTGGTTTCACTGCAACCTGTGTTTCCGAAAAGATGGGGCCCATTTCTTTGTCACCAGCTGTGGCCATATTTTCTGTAAAAAGTGTTTGACTCTGGGTGAGTGATTTAACTGTTTTCAGATTCAGGGAAAAATGTTTTTAACCTAGAAATAATGATTAACCATTTCTCTGTGTAACTTGGAATAAAAATCACTTAGTAGGCCGAAGGTGGTGTGGGTATAATAGGAAACTGTTGATTATGAAAATCGGAGGAATCCATTAAAAGGAATGATTTAGCAAATGGACTATCTATTACTTGAACATCAAAAGGTGCTTGTCAGTGTTCTGAAGCCTGTGGCAGGGAAAGCCACAAGGTTATCAGACTGATTAGAGAAAAGAGAAAAAATAAAAATAATGAATAGAAATTGGGAAAGTGGTTGATAACAAGAGCCATTTCTAATGGGAAGTAGTATAATCTGTGAAATCAATTTAATTAGAAATGTTGGCAATGGTGATAGTGGTGGGTGATACCTTTGTGGTTTAAAAAGTATTTTCATGTGTACCAGTTTTATGTATCCTCACCACAATCCCAGGAGGTAATTATTAGTAGACCCATTTTACAAATGAGGAGCTGGTTCAAATAGGTGATTTGACCAAGTTCTTGCAGCTGTTAAGTCTTAGAAGAGACAAATTTAAGGTGTGTCTTTTTTTTCTTAGTGCTAAAATACTTACAAGGTACGTATTATATTCTGTAGGTATGTATTCTGGGTAGTAGGTCCAGAAGAGGGACTTAAGATGTTTTGATCAGGGAAAATTTCATAGAAGAGGTGTTGTTTCAATAGAGTTTTGAGTAATAAACTGGAGTCTGCCAAGTGAATTAGGCAGGGAAGATCATTCTGGTTTAAGAGAACAGCATGTGTAAAGGAATACAACATCATTAAACTTAGTACAGGGAAGTACATGTGGTTGGGATTGGTAGAGCATAAAAGGATAAAGTAAGAAATGGTGAGAAATGAGGCTAGAGTGGTAGGTAGTGGCCATATGATGGAAGGCTCTATATACCAGGCTAAAGAACCTGAACTTTATCCTGCAGGTGATGGAGAGCTGTGGAAGTTTCTTTGTCTTGTCTTTTTCTTAAATAGAAGAATGATTTGCACTTGCTAGCTCACTCTGATAATAATATGGAAGGAAGATGGGGAAAAACTTCATCCCCAAGGAAAGAAGAGTCAGGTTAGGTAGCCTCTGGAGAAGCTTTTTCTCTATGTGAATCTCATGACCCTTTAAAGTTATCTGCTAATGTAACAAAGCTATTACTATGGTAACAGCAGCTCACTTTGGAGCAGTTTGTCTCGGTGAAGCATATGTCATGTGATGTTTTCTCTGGACATGGCATTTATCTTAATCAATAACCAGCACCACTACTAAAATTTTAACTTCACAGGAAGGTTAGGAATTTTAATTTCCACATCTTTCAGATTGGGTTAATTAGAGAATGAGAGCAGGAGAGCTTCAAAACAATATCCAGGAATATTAGCAAGGTGAGAACAAGGCAGGAATAATTGGAGAGTTTCTTATGGTGCCTAATGTGTGCCTACTGTCAGGTAGATAGAATAAAAAATAATAACTTAAAGTTGAGATCTTTGGTACTCTTCCCAGACTCTAGTAAATGTACACTCCTGTACTCCTGCTGGGAGGCTACTGTCCCTCACCTGCAGAAGAAAACTGGGAATTTATAAAAAGGCAGATGGGCAGAGGTACAGTGTGAAAGCCTTACTTCTCATCAACATACAAGTTTGGAAACACTGATTTCGAGAATGGAGCTCAAGTCCATGTCCTTTTATAGCACAATGACATTTTGAATTCAGTAAGAACCCTCTTTTCATTAGCTAGCCTACTTGACTGTCATCATGTACTTTAGGAAAATCTTAACCTCATGCCCATGAGAACCAAACATTTCTTTCCCCTTTCCCCGCTAGAAAAATGTGCTATTTGTGGAACTGCCTGCAAGTATCTGGCTCTTTCTGATAATGTAAGTTTTTCCTCCCCATCACAATCTTATCCCATTCCTGGTGTGTAGGAACTAAACAAAGAATACAGTGGCTAAGAACTGAAAATTTTGGGGAATTCCCTGGTGGTCCAGTGGTTAAGACTTGGGGCTTTCACCGTGGGGGCCTGGGTTCAATCCCTGGTCAGGGAACTAAGATCCTGCAAGCCATGTGGCATGGCAAAAAAAAAAAAACTGAAATTTTTTTTAAAAAAGAAAAAAAAGGAACAAACAAAGCATGTAGATAGCAATTGGAAAAAAAAGGAGGTAAACTAGAGATAAAAGAATTACTTGTGGATTTGTGACTCCTGTCACAGAAGCACGAGGTAAGAAGGATTAGGATATGTAGTCTACATCTCCTAGCACAATAGTGATCGCCCTCTTAGCACAGTGAAATAATACCTGGTGCTTTAGAAAGGGTGCTATGTCTTTAACCATATTTGCCTGTATTTTATTTCATTCCATTGTGGATGTGTCTTACTCTCTTCATAGCTGAAACCTCAGGAGAAGATGTACTTCAAAAGCCCTGTGGAGACAGCTTTGCAGTATTTTAGTCACATCTCTCAGGTATGAGAAATAAAAGTGGAGAAAATCTGATTTTCCAGGCAAGTTATAAATGCACCTTATTTCTTTTCCAGAGGTTCTCTTTAAACTGCATTCGTATATTTGTATACAATGGGGAGAAATTGGCTGCCCTGTTTGCTTTCTTCCCTGATGATACAAATCTCAACAGTTAACTTTTTACTCACCCAGAATCTGTGATAGGCTGTAAAAACTACTATGTAGCTGGCATCTTGCCTTGTGCTTCCTAGTTCTATTTAGTAATTTTTGAGGATAAAAAAGGTTCTAGAGAGCTTTGTCTTTCTTTGCACATTTAATGGATCTTCTAAAAATTGCTTTGAATATACAGGCCTGACCCTGCAAACAATGGATTTAGTAGCCAAACTTTCAAGCTTTTGCTTATAGACCTAAGTTCAAAAACGGATTTCTTGTCCTCCACTCTTATTTTTCAATAATCTCTCTTAGCAACACATATATATTTCATTCTTCAGTTAGTATTTATAATAGGTTGCCTGAATTTTGGAAGATATTTTTCTTTTCCTGATGCGTGATATGTTGTCATGCCATTGACTTGGTCAGGAGCAATAGAATTGTGGGAGGAAGTGAAGAGGAGACAGGACAACCATTTGAGAAAGTTCCCAAATTCTAAAAACTTTGGTTTTTCCCTTCCACTCCCCAGTTCTCCACCAAGATCATTTCATAGCCTCATGGGATTGCTATCTGGGCACATTTCTTGAGATTTTATCACTATTTTTCTTCTCTACTCTTCTCATTCTTACGAGAATATTTTTTTATTAAACGTGAAGATGGTCCTTTGTCATGTTTGGCTGAAGATAGTAGATTTAATTTTTCTTTGGTGTCTCCCCCTCAATCCTGACTCTGGAGATAGAGGAAGGGAAATTAAGGCTTTCACTGCATCCTGCTTTTAGCTGCTTGGGTGAACCATCATATTTGAGATACTATTTAACATTGTGGGGAGATAAAATCCAGCTGAGACTCAAGGAGAAATGTAAACAAGGTCACATGAACAAGAGAAAGAGCAGACCTTTGGTTAATAACTAAACCAAGGGTTAGTTAATGATCAGTAGAGAAATTATATGTAGTCTGAATTCTACCCTGCCTAATCATGGGACCAAATACACATGGTCAAGTAATCAAGATAAATACATGAAAAGGGTCAGTTAATCATCACTTCAGTGAAGTGCCCATTTGGTGAAGTCAGCAATGTCTGAAAATGTGTTTTCCCAATCTGTGAAGTTGAATAACTGATCCAAGTAATGTCTAGATTGTCTCATTCAGGCTTCTGCTCATATTTTTCTTCCTCAGTGAGACCTTTACTGACTCTCATATCTCAAATAGCAGCCCGAAGTCTGCTTCTTACCCTGCTTTATTTTTCATCATAGGTCTTATATCTAACATTATATAATTTATTTATTGTCTGAATCCTGCACTGCTTTCCCTTAGCATAATGTGTTCAAGGTTTATCCATGTTGTAGAATGTATTAGAACTTCATTAATACTTTATTCCTTTTTATGACCAAATAATAATCCATTATATAGCTGGATATACGTTTCACGTATTCATTCATCCATTGAGGGACATTTAGGTTATTTCCACTTTTTGGCTATTATGAATAATGCTGCTATGAATATTTGTATACAAGTTTTTGTGTGGACATATATTCATTTCTCTTGGATATATACATAGGAATTAGATCACTGGATCAAATGGTAACTCTATGTTTAACTTTTGGAACTGCCAGACTGTTTTCCCAAGTGCTTGCACATTTTACATTTTTACCAGCAATGTATGAGGGTTTTGATTTCTCCATATCCTCACCAACACTTGTTTTATCTGTCTTTTTTTATAATAATCATCCTAGTGGTGTGAAGTGCTATCTCGGTGTGGTTTTGATTTGCATTTCTCTGATGATTAATGATGTTGAGCATCTTCTCATGTGCTTATTGGCTATTTGTTTGTCATCTTTAAAGTAGTATCTATTCAGATCCTTTGCCCATTTTTAAGTCGGATTGTCTTTTTATTATTAGTTGTAAGAGTTCTTTATATATTCTAGGTACAAGTCCTTCACCACATATGTGATTTGCAAACATTTTCTCCCATTTTGTTGGGCCCATCCACTTTAAAATTAAGAAGAAGTAACATAAATGTCCATTAAGTAAATACAAATAGGAAGAACAGACAACATCGAGCATGAAATAGAGTAGGAAATAAAGAGAGAGAAGAGGTTGAGAGAAAGAGAGGGAAAGATATAGGTTCACAAAGAAAGACAAATTCAGAGCAAAAGGCACAAATGAAAATACAGAGGGACTTCCCTGGTGGGCCAGTGGTTAAGACTCTGCACTCCCAATACAGGGGGCATGGGTTTGATCCCTGCTTGGGGAACGAAGATCCCACATGCCATATGGCGCGGCCAAAAATAAAAAAGATAAACGAAAATACAGAGAAAGACTTTTTTTTTAAATGAATTTATTTATTTATTTTGGGCTGCGTTGGGTCTTCATTGCTGCACGCGGGCTTTCTCTAGGGGCTACTCTTGGTTGTGGTGTGCGGGCTTCTCATTGCAGTGGCTTCTCTTGTTGTGGAACACGAGCTCTAGGCACGCAAGCTTCAGTAGTTGTGGCTCTCGGGCTGTAGAGCGCAGGCTCAGTAGTTGTGGCGCACAGACTTAGTTGCTCCGGGGCATGGGGGATCTTCCCCAACCAGGGCTCGAACCTGTGTCCCCTGCATTGGCAGGCTGATTTTTAACCACTGCATCACCAGGGAAGCCCAAGAAAGACTTTCATAAATTTAGTGTTGGGACTGACAAACTTTTTCTTGAAAGGTTAGCAAATATTTTAGGTTTTGCAGGCTATGCAACCTCTGTTGCAGCTACTCAGCTCTGCTGTTGTAGCACAGAACAACAGCCACAGGCAATCTGTAAACAAATGGATATGACTGTATTCCAGTAAAACTTTATTTACAAATACAGGCAGCTGGCCCTGATCGTTAGTTGGCTGACTTGGAAGTCATATGTTTTGCTAACATACTTAAATAACTACTATATAAACCATATAACCATATAAATCGTTTGAATAAAATCAGGTCAAGACCTGATCTCATAAATAGATCAGATCAGTTTCCCATCCCTCACTTGAATTTAAAGACTGAACAACTGAGATAATCAATGGTGCCTTTGAAGAAAGGTTTTATTTAGTTGAAGATTATTTTACCTGAAAAGAAAAAGTTTATCTGTCAGTTTTTAAGACTTCTGAAACAGTGTAGTTGAGTTCTTTATCACTACTGAGCAGGTCGAGGAACCTTAAGCCCCAGTGTGAGAGGCTTTGATCACAAACTGTGCAACCCAAAACTTAACTCCCTGGCTGCGCCGCGTGGCTTGTAGGATCTTAGGGATCGAACCTGTGCCCCCTGCAGTGGAAGCGTGGAGTCTTAACCACTGGACCACCAGGGAAGTCCCCTTGCTTTTGATAAGGAAGCATTTTTAGGATCCTTTTTTGCTCAAATCTCTTTGAGCACCAAAGTAGTTTTGGCACGTAGGTTAGTAGGTCTCTTGGCTATATATTGTATCTATCCGTAGTATCTATTGCTCACCAACCCTTTGCCATTTTAGATAACTCCCAGGATTGAGTGCCTTTTTTCTGCCTCTGCACTGTTCAAATTTTCTAAAATGAATATGTTTTACTTTTATTGAAAACAAGAACAAATTTTAAAAAATAGATTACAGTGAATTCTTATCTGTGTAGCATTAGTTTCGTTTGCTTTTGAGTAGAAAGGAAAGAG